GTTATGTAATAAATTCCCAGCCCCTTACCCCTTTACACGATCACGTTAAACAGCTGCTTCCAGCTTATCTTCCACGGTTGTATTTCAGAGTTTTGGTCCAAATCCAGCCTCGCACTCCGAGAAGCTCAAGAAGGCGATGCTCCGTTCTAGTGGACACAGCCTGTCATGTCTACAGGCTTCAGGAGGCGAGTTTAGTGAGTTCCAAGCAGACGTCTGTGACGTGTACAGGCATAATGTTGAGAAATGCTCAGAAGCCCACTGGAAACTTGGTCTCCTGAGAGCCCGTTCAATGTATTCCTAAATTTACAAATCGTGCTATAACTATACACAGAACAGAAAAAGCTGGGCGTTGCTGGGAAGATGCTAGAGTAGGGTGGAATAGTTTGGGACCACAGCTGAATCATTGACCTCAAGGTTGTGGGGTTTAGGGTCGAGGGTTTGTGCCCTTGAGAGTTGGGGATTTGTAGGATTTCACACAATGCCTTCCAAGCTTAGAACCACATGGTTCAGGGTTTGAGTCTCCCCTTCAACAATCCCATGCCGAATCCCGGTGCTTGTGGACCCTACAGTCTCAACGCATTAGCCTCCAAACTCCAAGGACATTCAACAGCCTCCCCCTTATGGGAAAGTCTTGTCTCGGAACTATGCAGCTATCCTTTTAATACACTAAGTCTCAGCGCACTTTCTGCCATCGACATTCCTAGGAAGCCTCCAAGTCGGAGATCTGGCCAAATTTCCTTTCCAAGAGTACTGGCAACTATAACCATATGGGAACACACATTTTCACAAGTAGCCCTTGCGTCGCGACTGGCACTGTTCTCATTTCGGGAAGTCCCCATAAGATCCCTCCACAAGCCCTGTTGCACAGATCCCCATCATTCCCCCCCATTGTGCCCCTCATGAGCCCCTGGATAAAACCTTGTATACTCAGCGGGAAATCCCGACCCGGGGTTCCCCTAAACCCTACTAAACCGCGAACCGCGTGTAGTTTACTGAAGCAGCCCAGGAGCGTCTCAGGGGAGATCGCCGGGCATGAGCTGAAATCGCAAAGTCCGCCTGCAGGCTTGCTGCACAGCGCTGGTCATCATTGCAGTGCTTGGAAATATACGATACTCTGCAAAAGACTGTATGGCATGTTATGGAGATCTGAGGAGGCATATTTTGCCGGGAAAGAAAAACCTATCATCTACTGAAGCAGTATCGGAGGCATCATTGTTGAAGGCTTCAATGGGAATCTTGAATAGGTACACGGGTATTTCAGGATACATGTGTGACAGGCCTCTCGATCCCTGACAAGGATCGAAGGTTCTTTAGGGAAGCATGCTTCATGACCCGCCTTCACCAGTCTCCTTGTTTGAGCGGCAGCAGCGGGATCCCCACGACCCGAAACCCAACCAACAAGGTAGTTGACCATTGCCTTTTCCGTTGCGAATGGCGAAAGCATATGTTCCCTGGCAAGTTCTGTTGCTCCCATTCTTGTCCTAACCCTGCCTCGAATGAAATCGCCTCCCTTGGAGCGGCTGAGGTGATGGTCCATCGCATTCGTGTAAGTCTGCGATACCTGCGGCGTTTCTCCACTGGAGAAATGATTTCAAAGTGGCTGATGTTAGGAAGTAAGGACAGCCACCAACTGGCTACAGTTTGGCAAGCCTTGTGGCCTTGGACAGTTTCCTGTTGTCAAGCCTAGGGCTTCAGATGGGGAAGCTTGCTTCAGCTTAATGTCTCCGAACTCGATCCTTGAACACTCGAGCTGACAATAGCTGTGGGCTTATCATAACCTCTGAAACATAAGGCCCAAAGCCATTCCAAAACGCCTGAACCACATAATAGCCGCCTGGCCCGTGAGAAGGTTCTTCCAATACCTTACATGCTCAGGCTTAGGGCGAGCTGCAGCTCTGAGAGGGGTGAGGGATCATTTTGGAAAACCGATTGGCGTCACTTTGAAACACCGATTAGCGTCATTTTGTCATGTACTACTTAGACGATATTGAGCACCCCCCGCTCCTCCAGATATTCAGCTGGAAAAGCAACCCGAAAGCTGCACAAACACCAGGTGGCTGGCATCACAGCAGGTGGTGTTTACTATAACTACGGCGGCCAGCAGAAGGACTGCTCCCACAAATGCAAGCTGGAGCCAAGCTTCGGATATGTCATCCCATCTGCAGCATTTACACCTCGCAGAGGAGAACAGCGTGCGATGTTGATTCTCATTCTTGAACTTGCTCTGTGATCTTTACTGCCCACTGCTCTCCTCCCTAGCATGGAGAAGGAAAGGTCAATGAAAGCCTCATCCTGCAAAATAATGGGACTTCAACTTGGAAACGTATTGCCGCAAGCTCTGGACCTACACCCCGCACCTCCAAGACTATGTGTTCCTGACTCTCACCCCCAATCCAGGCGTCAGTCATAAGCTGTCAACCTCTACAGGCGGACCGTCTCGATCGTACACAGTAGATCCACCAACTGCAAAATCTCTGCCTACCAAATACTGCAACAAAACAATAGTACTACTATAGTAATACTATAGTAATACTATAGTAATACTATAGTAATACTAGAGTAATACTATAGTAATACTATAGTAATACTATAGTACTACTATAGTAATACTATGCATTACTATAGTAGTACTATGATACTTGAAACCTTCTTGCCCTCAAGCCTGCCCCGGTCTGCTCCTCCCAGGCACTCAGTTCCGTCAAGTTCTCCTGGGATCCAAGTGTCGCGTTTAGAGTCTTACTGGTTCTTAGTAGGGAATCAGGCAATACACTATATAGGGGTCCTTCTATAGGGATTATCTTCCCCTATTCCCTACTAAGAACCAGTAAGTTTAGTTTAGGCACGCAGGCCGTTCGTAGCTGGGCAGACACAGCAGCGATTTGTGCCTAAGGGTTACTACAAACACGAGAAGAAAGAGGATCATAAATATACCACGTGTCCAGTGGCCCGAAGCTGTTCGTGAAGTTGCCGTTGAGAGGCCATGCAGCATGAAGACCTCGTTGAGGGACCAAGGCAGGACCAAGCTTAGGAGCAGAACCCTGCTTTGTGAAGGAGGCTTTTAAGGTAGGAGATTGATGCATAATAAACATGTCTAAGACTAGAACCCACTGCCGAGATGTTGTGGCGAGCCCTTCTTACAAACTGCTCAGCCGGGCGGAAGCTGTCCTGACTGCGGAAGTTCAAGCCAAAGTCTCTATGGCTGGAAAGGCCTCGTTTGTAAGCCTTCGACTGGCGTTAGTGGACCAGCCTCTGAAACCCTCTGAGCCCCAACAATCAGACCGTCCGTTAGCCCGATCATATTAGTTGCAGGCAGGCCTCCTAGTGTACTCTACACTCTACAGTAACATGAACACGAGTGTAAGAAACCCGGGCGCACTCTGCCACCACGGAGAAATGCAGGCGTTTCGATCCCCGGCGACTGCATACACCCCGTTTTTTCTTCTGTGGATTTTGTCCGACCCCCCAATAGCCAGTTCTGCGCTATTCCAAGCTCTCTACAGCCAACTCTGGAAACTGACAGTCATTTAGAGCTACTGAAAATTTGATTAAGCGGGTCCTCCAGACAAGCCTATACGTGGCCGAGAATATTGGCTTCCCTGATAGACGAGCGATCCTTATGGCCCCCGCAAACTCCCTGCAGCACCCTTGAAAATACTGTCACCAAACATCCCTGTCCAGCGACTGTGTGGATAGGGTCCCCCGATGAAGCTGGTAGGATCCGGCAGGGCGCACGCTTGCACTGCGAAGAGCTGCTCCTGCCCGGAGGCTTGCTGCGCAAGGGATTTTCTACGGAAGTATTTGAGATTGTTGGTTTATGACTGGGGGCCTGAGGAATTGCAGATATCGGACTAAAATTCAGGATGCTTTGGCGATTTGTGGCCGATCACAAGCCTTCATAAATCCTACGCATCATAAAACACAGAACATCAACGTTGCCGGCGTATGCCGCTTCTTGCCCATCTGCATCGAGTGCTGTAGCTCAGTGTAAATGCTATCCTGGCGGCTATTGAAAATCCAATTGTCCTTCTTAAGAGAATACATTTTTCACACCGTATGATGGGCAGATTATAATGACCGCGCACAACCCGCCTAAAAGGGTTACTTGCAAGACAATCCCAAACCGGTTTCACTCAGGTTCTGGAATTGTTATCATGTGGCCAGTGTTTTCTGACATGAAAGCCCAAGGAGGAATATCAAATATTCAAGATTCGCTAGCACGCCAGCAAGGAACCTGATAAGTAGCAATAGGACTTACCCTGGATTTGGTCAACGTCCATCTTTTAGTTCTTGAGAACTTCCAATATAGAGGTCCCTTTCCTAGATCTAACTTGAAGATGGGCAATGCACCTCGCTGGGCTGGGGTCCTGCTCTAAAAGCAGAGACCGCCCATGCTGAGAAATACCCAGCCTCTTAAGAAGACTATGATGTTTTAGCACAAGAATTCCCTACAGGAATATTCTTCTGCACAGACGCGGTCACTTGAGACTTGATGCCCGCCCTGATCAATTGTCCTTGCCTGTGTCAGCGCCACGCTCCTTGCAGCCAGGCTTCTTTCAGTACCGCTGCAGCCCTATTTCAAAATTAGCACCACCACTTCACTTCTGGGCACGTAAGAAGCTTCTACATGCGCGTGATTTCTCACGATGATTTGTGCTCACCAAAACTCCCAACCGATTAGGCACGGGACAGTCCCATCGTGAGACTTCAGTTTCAGGTATCCCCGTATGACGTCCACCTGATTGACAGCAATTGCAACGGTCACATTCACCATCTGCGCTAGGTCGTTGTTGCAGCTCATGCTTTCATGGTACGGGGCTGTAGGCTCCAAAGGCGAAAAAGGAGCATGTCCAGATCTTCTTTTGTTTGGTCGATTGCTGCCCTGCCATGGCTCCACTGCATAGCAATTGATCTTGCATCATCCACACTAGCCCCTGTGTAAGGTAGCTAACCATACTTTCTCCTGGGTTGCGACCCAGTACTCCAAACGGGCCCTGCTGACTTCAGGCAAGGGTCCACAAGCGCACGTTCGCCACCTCGCACTCCACCGCCCGAGCCTCATGGCCGCCACCGACAAAGAACTGCCCGTTGTCTGCTATGTTCTCCTTGGTGAGCAGCTTGTAGCTTCAGAGGTAGGGGTCTGCGAACTTACTGCTGCTTACTATATCATAATAGGGTATACATTGGGGTTAGATAGGGATAATGGAAAAGAAAATGGAAACTACTAGAATTATGTTAGAGTTGGGTTTGAAGTTCGGGGGTTTGGGGCAGCGACATGGAACCGTGCTTCACATAGAACCACACCGTCTGTTTTCCGGATCCCATGGGTGCTCATCATTCAGGCAACTTGAGGATTCCACTAAAGGATGACCCATGTGACATAAGTCAAACTGACCCTGTAGCTTTCACTTCATTCGAGAAGCTTGCTGCAGCCGCTCTCCTGCTTCTCCTGTAAGCCTTGCAAATATGAAGGGTCCTGAATGATCTGCGCACGAATTGCCCAACGGTTGCCCAGCTGTACTGGCAGGTTTTGAGAAGATGTCTCCACTCGAGAATTATTGAGCTTGGATTCTTTAACGGCTCTGGGAATACCTAGACAACTTGGAAAGCTTCTCCAACCTCTCCACTCATACCTACAGCGCTGGAGACAAAGAAAGGAACACAAACTCGTTCTCCCAACAACTTCGTAAAAGTCGGATCACGAACCGTGAATGTGGTACAGACACTGGTGGAAGTACGTGATGGTCTATACATGTCCATACAACACCTGTTACCTTCTTGAGCCAGGCATCTGCCAGAGGTGAATATGTGACCCGCCCAGTGTATTCAATGTTATCCACCAGGAGCCGCCCTTGTCCCACGTAGGCCATGGTGGGGAACGTGTTGTCGTAAATGTACTGATTGTTCTCCTCGTTTTCTTGGAGAAGAAGGGGCAAGAATCAAAATGTGAAATGTCAACAAGCTTTCTAATGTTTGCTACGTTATACTGCAAGGCCGATTCAAGTCGTCCTTCGGGTCCAGACCTGTGTAGGTGTTTGCGATGAGCGTACTGGCTCGCATGGCGCTCATCATACCTGGTTCCCGGAGCTCAACGGAATCCAGAAAGACTGTCCGTAGGTTCCATGACTTAAGATCTGACGACGCTCTGCAAAAGATTGCACTGCGGCTTAGGGCTTCATAAACCAAGTCGGAACAAAGCCTTCCACCACACCAGCAATATTGACCAGACAAATGCTTTCAAAACAGGTATAAGAAAGAATGCCGACCTTTTCGTAAGAGCCTAATACACAAAGCGATACTGTATATGAACTGTTTCTGTCACCGATGACAGCGGCAAACTCTACCAAGACACACGTCCGAATTGGTTTTTCACTTAGGATGAGTCTGGATTTTGATAT